GGAATAAAGGCAAACAATTCCAAATTGTTGTATAGCCATGGGGTATTTTCGGCATTTGTGGGCAGGTTCGTCGAAGTCCGAATCAGCCAAACAAACACTTATTGTATTCTATCTGATCGCACGAACAGATCTTACAACTAATCGAATCACAGATCACCCACTTTTTTAATCTGAAGACAAGGGCTTCGACAAAATGTACACTCAGTCACAGCTACAGTGTTGCTAACAGTCGAAATGAGTCTGTAAACTGTAAAATAACCACCTCTATATCCTGACCACCTCCCTAGGTTGAACCTTATTTCCCCTTTGCTTCGTCGTTTACCATATAAACCTTATAGACCTTTGTATGTTGACCACTTTGGTCCAGTCCCTTGTTTGGCCAACTTACGTTTGTCTTACTGTAGTTTAAAGGAAGTAACCTTGAGATTGCCACTTGCTAATCTAAACATAAAGCGCTCTCCTTGGCTGGTCTATGGGATTCCAGCTGGCTTGGCTCGGGCTTCTGCTTTACTTACCGGCAAAGAAACGGGCTCGAGTGGTTTCATAAGTGGACTCCCTTACTACAACTGTGTACTCGGAGAAGCGCTAGACGGCAGTTTCGTCCTATTGTGATTTAAAGTAATTAGTTTCCTCAACAATTTGAAAAGCACAGTGGTAAGACCTAAACTCGGCAGATGGATGCATTTCGTATCGTCTCCTCAATGTCGGAAACGATAAATGGGAATGAAATACAACCGTCAAGTGATGTATACTTGCTGGCAAACGAAAAGGAAAAAAGGGAAATCACGTCCCTACGTCCAAAGCAACCTGAGCCTGACAGATTGTTGCTTTCGAACACACATCTCGGGTCCAATCCGGCTTATTGTGACAGCGAAGCAATGGAGACGGAAATTGGTATGCCGCAGCAGAACTTCGTATGACGTGCCGACCTCGATCCGGTGACCTGAGATCAATAAGTGCTGATCGAAGATGCTGACGACCTTGGTGAACGCGTAGCATGAGCTGGGCTTGTTTGTTGAACCGTCTTGTGTCGGATCCACTTTGGAATTTTACGTCCACACACACACGCCCACAATGGTAGTTGGACCCGATAGGATGCATTCTCTTCAGTGGAGGCAACGGCAACTTGTGAGCTCAGTCAGCCAAACTGACTTTCGCAACCCAGAAGGTGCTTTGCATAGTAGCGGCACGTTCCTTCTCGGAATCCTGATGATTTCGAGATCATGATTTTTCTTTCACGAGTCAATGACTTGGACCACGGCGGCGGCGAGCTACCGTGATTGATAACCAGCAGTAGCATAGCGCGGCTCACTCTCCACTTCTATGAATGCCGTCGCCGTGCAGATAACACGCTGCTCGATATGATTGTCCCTTTCATTTTGCTGGGACAATTAGTAATACTCGAGATGATAGCGGTTACTGTTCTCGGTTTTTGTGCTTGTGCGGTTGAAAATGACCAGTGATTGTGCAAAGGACTGGCGTTACAATATTCTAGCCGTGTTGTAGTTTACACTTGATGTCGTCAACTAAATTTGATTTATGTAAGTTGTGATGTAATCAGCATATAGGCCGAACTACTTGTATCCGGGGAGGATTCGAGAGTTGGAGGGACTTGAGGTAACGGTAATTTTGTTATCAAAATGTGTGTCTGTGGTATTAGTATGCACACCGTTCAATCTTCCATCTTCTATACGATTTCCGTCTAAGGCGGTCTTGTGTCCTGCAATCTTCCGACACGAAAGCCTGCTGGCAATGCAATTACCGAGCCGGCACAAGTAGTCCGAGAATTGTAGATGATTCATATTTCAACCCAAAGATTCTGCTTCGAAAACGCTTGTCTCATCCGTCATAAGTATCAGTCTGGAATCAAATCGGGCAGATGCATGCGTCGCGCAACAGACTCAAAATTTCCGGTAACTAATTGGGCGATTACACCGCATATTATTGATCAGGATTGTTTTCTCCCGGAAATGCGCTAACAAGGAAATGGGATCATCTTTTGTTCTTCGATTACCATTCCACTTCTCTCTTTCAGTGCCGCACAACATTGTCAGCTTGATCAACAGGCTGCACTCACAATAGGTTTGCATTTTCTCTCATTAGGTGTATGCTACGTTTCTGAAACACGCTTACGAAACAACTGTCCTTGCATTTCTAAATTTCCAGACTCGGGTCCCAGTGAACTGGCTTGGATGCATCGCGTCTCTGGGGATTCGGAATTGATGACTTGCGGCATTTACTGTGTCGGAGTCATTCATAACCAACTTTGGGGTCTGCTCTTCTGGAACAGAATGTAGTGCGTGATCAAAGTTAGCAAGTAACGACCGATCGAAAGTTGATTTCTCGGTTTTCCTCTATGCTCCTCTCTGCTTTAGCCTGATGGGTGTTAGAGATAAGTTTTTCAAGAACTTCTGCTCCTTATTTCGAATGATATCTTTGTCCTTATGGGAAATCTAACTACTATGGTCTGCCTCCTGTTGGAGTCAGCATGTTACAGGAGGCCGACCGCGTAGCAGCTTTCGAAGCCAGCTCTGTCTGAAGCAGCCCGGAGAAGATTGGTCGTATACCGCCTGTAGCTGATTGGCTAGCCAATGCGAGTACGCCGATGGAATCGCTTTATCTTGAAGTGAGCCAATCAGAATGACGTGCCTTGACGCCCTCCAGTAGGCGCAGTACTTGAACAGCCAATAAGCGAGTTTTTGCGCATCTGGTAGTTGCTATAGTCAGGTCCTTTCAATTAGGTCTTTTCTCTGATGAAATATTTATTTTGACCCCATATTTTGGCTGTACATATTGTCTTCCGGGTGCTCCATACAATTTCCGCCAGAGGCCTTAGTCTTCTGATTTGGGAAGTGGCTGTATCGTAACCCGAGTGGCTGTACCACTTATCCGTACTGTCAGCGGAAACACAAAACAGCACCTCACCTTAGAGGCTGTGTTAGAATCGATGTCTGTTTTACTTTGAGTCGCGATCGCGTTCCTTAACTCTTCACTGACCACTACCCTGTTACAGTTGTATTTTACTCGAAGCGTATATCCCGATCACTGATTCATATCCCCGGTGTGGCTGCGCTTGGTGTGCATATTGACAAGGTGCCATACTTGTTGGTGAATCGCTACCTTGATTATACTGGCTCCTGCAGACAGTTGTTGCACGTTCCTCATGACCGTGATGGGCTCGAACAGTGGTTCCATACATCCAGTGTGGAACGGACTGTTGCGCAGCCACCACCTTGTGCACATCTGGTACGCATTCCTCTTCAGTTATACAGACGGTAATGCTGCGGCTGTGTTTGTTGTAGGAGTGTGGATCGGTTCCGTTGATGAAACGTGGCTCCCATCCATATAACTCCCGATCTTCTTCCTTCTGGTCTACACTGGATATGGAGTGTATGTATGAAGCTGTGAGTGATACAGCGCAAGCCACTCATGGTACTTCTGTAGGTGTAGGCGTTCTGCGGCTGTTCCCATGAAGGCCGCAGTGACAGGCGAATCCGGAATCAAATGCCGCCAGCCATATCACGAGCATTGAGGGAACAGTTTGAATGAGAAGCTGTGTTAGTGATTCATCTGCCACATTTGCTTGAGACGTTGGTGATGCAATCTGCTTGGAAAGTCGAGATTATGGGGTACCTAGCTGTCGCCTGGAGTACCAACTCAATACGCTTATAAAGCTGCAGCCACAATCAATCACCAAAGCGACGCCGACGACTACTGCCGCTACATTGTAATCGCATCCGAATCTCACTTGTTCTTTTATTCCCGCTGTTCACCTGTGATGACATCTCTTAACTGATACCTTCTCTCATCAGAGATCTCCTGTCCTAGGTCTACCGCCTAATTCGCTTAGAGTTAACAAAACGGATTTTGCTGTCCCACCTGACCTGACGAAATGTTTTTTGTGGGGGAGTGTATTTCAGCACACTAGACTGCCGGTTCTTTTCAATCAGTTCCTGAATCAAGAGTTACCATTTTGTTGCAACCATATTAGCCTTTGGCTTTTTCAAACTTTCTATCGTTAAGTAGGAATGATGTTCTCATTGGAATACAACTCATGTGACGCTGCTCTAGTATCCAATCATGTCATGCCAATCAAAGGCAAGTTCCTTCATTTATTGCTTACTTGATCTAAGGTTGATGGAACAAATGGCACCCAGAAGTCCCTTGCCTATGTCTTTCTGGCGGATAGGTCTATGGTTTACAAGCCTAATATACGGACAGCTCAGCAAATACACTTACGCGAGACCATCTTCGTTTTCCAAAAGGATTCTTCTTACGGTTTGGTTCCTGACAGAGAACCAGGTCTCTGTCTTCGCGTACGATAAGCATTTTGCTATAGGACTTTGTCACACAAGGGTGTTCTCGATCCCTAATGTGCCTGGTCAGTTGTACACACTGAAAAGTTGACCATGTGATATGTTCTGCCGTCAACGGCTTGAATGCGCCTTACTGAATAACGGCGACTTCGCTTTCACATTGCTGCGGTGACCTCAGTTGCCAATCAAACTCAGGAGACAGTTTGGGATCTTGATTTGACCCAGCGGCATGACTGATCTCGCTCATTCTATGTCTGGGGCGACCTACGGTACTTCATAACTGGTGCATATGGCTTAATCCTCTGTAACTGAGCCACGCGTTCTGCGCACTTGTCAAATGTTCATACTGGCCACTTTCATTTTCTACATGTTTTTCGGAATGTCGACGGAGCATTTCGGATCCCTTTATTAACGTTACGTTTCTCAGCTCATCATGGGATTAAGTATGGAATTTGTTTTTAACCTACCCTTTCAATTATGTCTCAACTTGTTGCACTAATGCCCTAAATGTTTCCTGTTTTGAGTTCTCAGACCCGTAGACCACATTCCTGCTCTTTTCTCGAACATGCACACACTGTCACCGGTCGCAATCTGTGAACCTCCTTATCATCAAACCTTACTGTTACATTAGTTAATGTTTTGATCACTGAATGTTGTTAGTCCTTCTTTTCTCCGCACTTCTAGTCCGTTGTGCTAGCCAGCCAACTCTCTCATGTTGATGTGGACCGTACCAGCGTGTCCGCCACAAGCAGATCCAATAGTATCAGCTGTCTGAGCCTTCGAGGTCCAGGGACAAGCTTGGCAGATGATCCTGCTGAGGTTCAACTTGTCTCAGAGGTTACTGACGATGATTCCCCTAGCAGTCTGGACAAATCAAGGGCTATAACCCCACCGTCTAGACTACTGCTGCAAATAATCGGACTGGCTGAACGCGCCATCGCTCCTTGGCCTCAACTGAAGTGCGTATTTTTGGGAGAATTGCATTCCAGCTTCTGCCGATTGTCCCAATGGATCAACATCTGCGATCAGTCCACTTCTCTTGGGGACGGAAGCGATGGATCCGATTCCAAATGGCTTTTTGATTCACCTTCAAGCGATCAAGCTCTAAGACTGCTTAGGTGGATGGGCGCTCGCGTCATGCGAGATTTTCAAGTGAGCATGCTTTCGTTGCTTCTCCGCCTCCCAATAACGCTGTTATCTTCATGGAGATTCGTTCTCTCCTTTACGGCGATTAGATTTAACTCATCCCAACTATGCTCTAGGTAGCCATTTTGTGTGTAACGCTTCTGCTTTTATTTCACATTTTTAGGACTACTTTGTTTTCGACAACTCACCATTCGACGAATATGTAACTGAACTCAACCTGAATGACCCTACCATGTGCGAGATATCTGTCGGCATTGGACCCTCTTGGAATCGTTATCGCTCGGAACTGTTTAATCGCGGTCCCCATCTCTGTACTGCACCAGGAGAGTCTTCTAACGCTGCTGCTCCACTCTTGGCTCCATCCCTACTAACTCTGTTGGCAACAGTTGAGAGTATTAAACGTCGTGGCAAACTTGACGGTAAGTGAAGTTGGCACAGTAACATGAGTGAATAGCATCGTAGCAGCAAGAGAGCAGGTGAATGGTTGTGGAGTCAATGTTGTTCTGCCATTAGATCCCCTTTGATGCACACGAAAAACTCAAAAAACAAATTCAAAATGGCGTGTGTAAAACCAAAAAAACCCTTTCCCATTTTCAAATCGCATTTCGTGTTCCTATCTTCTCTACTTTTTTCTGTCATGCTTCTGATGGCTAAATGTCTGTTAACAGACTGTGAATATATATATATATATATATATATATATATATATATGTATATATATATATATACATATATATATATATATATATATATATATAGTGCCCCATGCTGAGGCTGATGTTGCATTCTTGATGCTTCTTCACCGCAGTTGGGCTAAACCAACTTACACTTAAACTAGGTCTTTTTAAGCTGGCTAAATTTCATTCCACTTTAGTTGGTTTGTTCTGCCTACCTGAATACTCTTCTATTAACTGGCCACGTTGCTTACATTAATTGCGCTTATCTTCGGTAACCTTGTTGAGTTTTGTAGCATTTTTAACTAACTTGTGGACATTTTTCCTTATCGCGGATTCGTTGCTAACCAACTTACTTCATATGCTTATTTAGCTTAGCGTTATGCCACCGTATCTGTATGCATTATTGGATTTGTTTTATTTCATCTTGTCGTTTCAGGTGATTGGCTGTTGCTTGATATCCCCGGTGTGGCTGCGCTTGATGTGCATGTTGACAAGGTGCCTACCTGTCTATTACCCACTACCTCGTCTATACTGGCTCTAGGAGACAGTTGGTCGTTGCTGGAGGGGACGGGGTGCACGGTTCTTGTGGCCGTGCTAGGCTCGAAGAGTGGTTCCATGCACTCAGTGTGGAGCGGACTACGGTCCAGCCACCGCCTTGTGTGCGCTTGATTTCCCAAATACAGCGTGCTTGTGTTTGTCTGTGAAGGAGTGTGGGCCGGCTCCGTTGATGAAACGTGGCTCCCACCCTCATGCCTCCCGGTCTTATTCCTTCGGGTTTACACTGGATATGGGGTGTGTGGTTGGAGCTGTGGGTGGTGCAGTGCAAGCCATCCATGGTCCCTCTGTAGGCGCAGGCGTCCTGTGTCTGGCCACAGTGACAGGCAAATCCGAAACCGGACGCCACCAACCATATATATATATATATATATATATATATATATATATATATATATATATATATATATATATATATATATATATATATATAACGGTGAGTGGACAGGTGTTTGGTTCGTCAAGGACCTTTCAGTGTGCCTCGGCTTTTTCAACGATGCCGCCCAAAATCTACAGTTATTAGCCACATCTTCGAATTGCATAATTTTTCTGTTTATTGCACCTACATTGTTAACACTCTCACTTAAGCATGGCGAGCACCTGAGTCTCATAACGGCATACAACCACGGACACCGTTCAGCAACGTGTAAAGTCTGTATAACTCGTGATTTCCGCTACTGCGCTTCGTACTTAACCTCGACCGTCCTGTTTCCCTTGATTGGGTCTACGTTTGAACATCGGCTCCGTGATTGTTGGCTGTGGTTTCACTTCCCTGACTTCTCACGTATCCACTCACCCCCTATAACCTCTGACATCAGGTATCGACTGTTTTACATGACACCTTACTCCTCCCACTTCAAAGACGATCAACCTAAATGTGCGTTGTTTGAACGACCAACAAACAGAAGTCTACAAGAGGGGATCTCGCCATCCTCATTCTTTGATGTGAGATCGACGACCTTGAACTACCCGGTAGCGTCTAATTCCTCTGGTTCCAATCGTGTTGATACTTTTTGCCCATAACTTTTACATCGCTTGTCAGTAGATAGAATTGATTGTTGCTGCATGTTTACGGATGCACATTATATAGGTACGAGCGCGTGCCGGATAACGGAACTCTACCGCTTAGACATCAGCAGTACGTCGGTACATCGTACCAACGTTTTGCTGTCACACAACCACCATCAGTCTCATCTGGGCTAAGGATACTACGAAGGTCGCCCTGTCCCTACGCAGGCTCGATCCCGCGCCGTCACATTACAATGCAAGCTTGTTACCATTAGGCTACGGGCCAGTCATGTGGCAAATCAAATTGCTAACCTGGACATTTGGTCTCTGGAACTTATGGATGCCCGGTGACCTATTCCGGCTGTAAGCGAATACAATGAGGCTCGCAAAAACCTCGGGGCAAAACTGCGTCTCGGCCTTAAGAGCGACCGCGAAGCCTGACGGTGTCATCGTGTCTCGAAGATGACGACAGCCGCTGCCGTTGTTAACCATCGTAAGAGATTTCTGGTGTTAGCGAAACCATACGCGACGACAGTAGACAATCAATCAACAGTTACTCAAAACACTTGGAGACTTGATCTGGACACTTCGCATTGGTTTACCCAACCTGTGTTATCGCCTTCTTTCTCGGGCATTGATCGCCCTTCTGTCTGAGACGTCCCGTTGGATCCGTTCTTACGTGCGGAGTTGGAGCGTGAGGGTGTTGAAATTGTTGCACTTGAATAAGGTCGCAGGACTAGATAGATTTTCCCCAGACCTTTTCAAATTCGGGAGACCAGCTTTCTTGGATGATTTGTACAATTTTCTAGTGAATCTATGGGAACGTGGGTCTATCCCAACAGATAATAGGCTGACGTTCGGAATGTGAAAATCATAGAGGAACCGGTCTGATCTCAGTTGTCTCTAAGTTGCTTACGTCTATCCTTCTCCACAGACTGACTGGTACCCGTGAAAGCTAGATTCGTGAGCAGCGAGGCTGGTTTCGTCGAAACAGAGGCTGCATCGACCACATCTTTGCGTCAATTGTTAGAGCACCGCCATATTTATCGGAGACTCACCGTAGTCGTGTTTCTCGACATCAAAGATCTCTTCGATTCGGTGCATCGATGTGTTCTTTGGGACTGTCTGCTCAGAATAGATGTACCCGGTAAACATGTGAACATTATTGGGGTGCTTTAAAAGAACAGTTCGGATAGAGTGGATTTGTGGCAACCTGTTGCCACCCTTCAATATCTCCGGGAGCGTGAGACCAGGTTTCCCGCTGTCACCTTTCCCCTTTAACTTCGCCATTGACGAAATCAAGCGAACTGCGTCCGCCGGACACGACCTACAAAGGTGTGCAGCTGCTTCCGTATAAACGGCTTCTTGATTTGGAATATGCTGACGGCATAGACATCACCTGTGACAGCTCCCAAACGTGCCAAGCAGCGCTGAACAGACTGACACCTACACTTAGTCGTTTTGGGCTATGTTCGGCTCACTGGAAGTGAAATCCTCCAAGATTGACAAGGACCCACCACTTTGATGACCCTTGGTGATGCTCATCTAGAAGTCGTTCATAAATTTAACTGCTTAGACAGTTTTATCTACACCGATGGAACCAAAAATAAAGTCAAGAGCCGTATAGCGAAAGTTCGAGGTACTTTTGCCAATTTCCGGTACCTGTGGCGCGGGGCTGACATCGCTCTCATCCTGAAGGGCAGAGTTTACAACTCGGCCGTCCGTTCAATCCTCCTGTATTGTTGTGAAACTTGACCTATCATGTCAACAGACATAAAGAAGCTAGTTACCTTCGACTATCTCTGCCTTCGCTGCTTACCTCATGTCGGGTGGGAACACCGCTTGAAAAATAATGTATTCGGCCTCGTGTATTTGATGCTGGAAGAGGAAGTGAACCGCTCAGCATCATTATATCATGCACCAAGCTCCGATGTCTGGACCACGTGTTGCGCATGCCAGCACGCCGACTCCCGCGACTTTCTTTGCTTGCGCGCCGGGGGAGGTGATACGTTTACTTGGTCGAGAGGAATGAAAACCCTCACTTCAATCTTGGCGTCGGTTGGCGTGTTCCGACTTCCGGGCTGGGGTCACAGGGACATTGTGGGCAACAGTAATACTCTGCTACGCAATACCGGCGCGTCGCTGCTACGCAACCACCACCAATAACGCCTGGGCTAAGAATTTTGAGTGTCACTCAGCCTCCTGTGAAAGCTCGAACCTATGACTTCCTTATTACAAGGCAGACATATGATCCTTTCGGCCACTGGCTGGTGTAGACTCTTGATGGGACACGCTTGTGGACATGCCTAAGAACCGATCTGAATGGTCTTGTGTCCCTACCGCTCCCGTTTCTCTTCTCTTCACTCACAATCTCACACTCCGTATGCAACTTGATACTTGACCTTATACTATTTGGTTTTTTAGTTTCTTTATTCTGTACTATTTAGTGCTATCTTTTTGTATTGCAGCACTATAGTTGTGGCGTATTTCTCAGCCTCAGCTAACGTGTATTGATGATGGTGATTCACTGTTACCGGATAGCCACTCGGGGGAATGGTCCCTTCAATTATTCCATTAACTGTGTAACTTCCCTTATCACCTCACGTCACAGCACACGTGTTTGAGGCTCCTGTAGCTTTGCAAGTCATCATTCGCTCTTGACAACTGAAAGTTACTGGCTGATTTATTAAGTGGGTTTTGCGCTGTGCTGCAGCGCAATCAGCAGGGAATACAACCAGTGCTCACACAAAACATTAAGAATCTGGTCTTATTAGGGACTGGTGGTGCCCACGACACATTGCTTTTGTACCGTCAGGGAGTTTTGTGCGCTATAGTGACGTGTGCTTTGTGCATGCGTTTTGGCACTGTCTAATATCTGTCAAACCATTTGCTACTTACACTGGCTTGATCGTATGATTCAGATATCTACTGTCTATCTGCCTAAGCGTGTGTTGTTCTCTGACGCTACGCCTTATTGAGATGTCGATAACATACGTGAAGAACATTTAGTTGTCGACTGCGAGAGTTTGTCCGTGATTATTCCGGATGGATTCCTCGACATGTCTTGATCGTTCATTAAATTTTTTCGTTGCACTTAGTCCTCTGCTTCTTGATCTAATGGACTTTTCTGTTCGACAACTCCATAATTTTTGCTTATTATCCGTTCTCCGGTATAACGTGTTTGCTACTCCCTACGTTCGAAATTACCTGGAATACTGGTTGCTCGGGAGGCTTGTTCAGTTGTTGTGGTGTTCGCCGAGCTACGTTCTGAATCTTTATGTTCTTCTCATCAGACGGATTCACCGCACTTCGGTCTTCGGTTCATCACTCACTAATTGAGCTATCAATTCCGCATGTTATCGAGGGTCTAATCCAACTCTCGGATGTAAACACAATCACCTTATGCCTGCTGGAGGCATGTACACGTGCGGTCAATATGTAATGGGTTTGTTATCTGTGCTTATCTGTAGTTTCTGTCACTGTCCATTTGCGACTGACGACACACACGTATTTCACCGAAACCCTTGGTATGATTCTTTCATAGACTTATCTTCTCCGGCTTTTTTCGATTTGCCAATTTGACGTGCTCGGCATTGTGGGCGCTGACAAGTCCTCAACCATTACAATCCAAGCATAAAAGCCATCAGCTTACTATATAGTGGGACGTTTCTCTTAACATTCTGCGCACATAGCAAAGTACCCACGAAACATCATTCTACTGTTGTCAGAGAATCGGATGCGTGGCGATGAAGTCTGCGAATTGTTGTTCCATAGCCGATCATCAGATTGATTTTACTCGCATTCTTCGGCCATGACAAAATTAAAGACTTTTTTGTTTTCACACAGTGCTTGAGTACTTCTACACCATTCATCTTGATTGGCTAGCCGTTTCGTTCTTTGCTGTTTCTCCAGCACTTGATGCGCTTCTTGGCTGCCCCATCCTACTTCGTGTGGTCGATCCGGGCGAACTGGTGATTCACGAGCGATTTCTCCGCCTGGGCCCAAGTCCAGATGAACCTCAACTGCTCTTGTTCATCATCAATTGGATGATTGAAGCGGTGAACGTTTTTGCACCCTATCTCATGGCACACCAGGAAGAAGATGCTGCTGTTTCGTCCACATCAGCAGAACGTTTCTCCACAGGTTACCGCGCGCGGAAATTGCATCGCAGCGTCGCATTAGATCGCCTTCAACAGTTGGTTCGATTGCGGCAGCAGCTGTACTGCTGTCTCGTTGAAATGTCTCAACGTGACAGGAAACTGGCAAGCGTTGTCCAGAACAACGATATTATGGGCTTTACGAAGCTATCCAACATCTGCATTCCAACGGCTTTCTATGAACCTGGGAAAGCCTACAATACACACCCATCCACGGGGCTGTCCGCAGCGTCTGCTTCCGGTCTAAGCTGCTTTGCTTGTGGCATTCATTTGAGTTGTTCGGCCCCGAAAGAAGGGGCCACGGGGTGAGTCTGCGTTTACTAGTATACTTTAACTTATTCTCCTTTATTTGATACTGATGACCATTGTCTGCCTCAACATATTCAACTCCATTTCCCATATTTTTAAATCTTTTCACAAGAATCGAACGCGCGCATCATCGGTGATTTACAGCTCACGCAAGATGTGGAGTTTGCTGGCATTGAAGTTGTGTCAGAGGTTTTACACCTATCTCTAGCTAATTTGCAAAGTTATTTATAAAGTTCTCAGTAATCCGCGGTGGTGAAACTATTTTTCCTCGATGCTGAAACATTTTTTCTGCGATCGAAAATTTTGCGAAATTTCTACGGCGCAATTGGTAAATTCCACGATTTCCCCACGAAAGCGAAAGTAAACGGAAATCAAGACACCTTATCCACTATATCTCGGTTAGGATTCAAAATAGAGGACTTAAAATAAAGCTCAACAAGGTGCTTTGTGCTACTGTCTGAAAAGTTGTGATGCTTGTCATGTACAACATTTTTGTAGACACTAAAGCTCCGTTCAGCGTCTATTAAATTTACTGGAATGCACCAATAACGGTCGGCGATGTCTGCTAGTTGTGGAGTTCTTTCATACATCCAACACCAGAAGGCCAGCCTGTCTTCACATTTTTCTCCTTGAGGTTCTTCCATCACTGTTCGATAGATTAACCATTCGGCTGTCAGCGCTGGCATGGGTCACTGGACAAGGTGATGAGCTGGTTGGAGTCGAGCACTCTAATCGCTTTCAAGATCGACCAGCTGGCCTCTGGTGTCTGCGACTCCTGGGCTTTAATGGTAGCCTAGAATAAGCAGAGTTACATGTCAGTTTGGGTTTTGCTGAAGGCATCAAAGATGATTTAATTGTTCATTTGTTCTCCGAGCTTGGCGAGCAAACGTTTCACAACCATGCGAGGTGGCATCCTCAGTGCAGTGAGATGTGGCGTGCAATCTTACTGAATGAATCGTCCATCCGTGATCGACCTGCAGGTGACTTTTAAAAGTGGCAGTGTCGATTTACGTCCCGTGACCTCTACCTACTTCCCCAAGACTGAAGTCGGCGCCCGAGTTGTTCTGCCTTAAACCGCGTGACAAAATGTTCTTTATTTCTTTCTGTCAAAATGGTTCGTATATTGAATCGATTCAATATACGAACCACTTGGACACTGCTAATTTCAAAGTCACCTGCAGGTCGATCACGGATGGAGGATTCATTCAGTAAGATTGCACGCCACATCTCACTGCACTGAGGATGCCACCTCGCATGGTGATGAAAAGTTTGCAACAAAACCGCCAAGCTTGGAGAACAAATGAACAATTGTATCGTCAACCCGAGCTACCAGTATTTCGAAGCATCAAAGATGAGTCCTTCTGCCAGCAAATGTTGCAGCCAGTTTTCCTCCGCAGCAGTTTTCATCGACATGGATAGATCGCAGCCGTTGTAGATCTTACGGGTTACCGAAGACTGTGATTCGGCAGTTTTAAGATGACGGATGATATGTACTTGCCAGCGGTCGCAATGCAACCCAGTTGCCATCTCAAAGCTTTTAGTGGTATTTCGTTGGTTGGAATATCCACCAATTCACAAAGACCAACTGAGTCTCCGAACTTCTAGTGTACAGCTTGCAGAATGGCTGGGTAATGATAGAAATACTTGTTATGATGTGCGACAACTTCCAGCCAGGAGTTCTAGTGGGTGATAACCGGTGCAGCAAGGTGGTTGGGTTATCCACGCTCTCCTGAGTTAGATACTCCACGTAGACACACCTTCTTTTTCTCGAAAGACAAAAAGCACCTTTCCGTTTTACAACGAATTCGTCGGCTTCCGGAGGGAATTTGCGAATTATCTCTCCAAGCAAATTGATGCAATGGGCGACACATCTAATTTGAACTGAATCCTCACAAACAGGTTTAATGGTATCTCGGTAGCATGCTGTCATACATCCTAGCGTCATCGGACACGAAAGCCGTCACACGACTGAACTCTATACCCATCATTGTCAAGTTGAGCGGAATGGCTCCTCCAACTGTGGCAGGACTGTCTCTCTTTCCATCTTGATCGTGTCGATGGGGTAGGCACGCAGACTGTCTTTGTTGGGCTTCAGCGGTGCGCATAAATGGATGTGTAGTTCCATCTTCCCACGATCATCATCAGTTGGTTCGTCTGTTATGACGTTGGCAAAAGTATCGCGGAACATCTCATTCAATATCTGTTTATGTTTCTCGTTAAGCTGGGGGATTTTCAGACGTAGCGCGTTAGATCCGGCAATGCTTCCACCATTTCGTATGTGTCTCTGTGACAATTCCCTCAACTGGGGGTTGTCGACCTTCTCTAGAGAAATTTTCGCAGTGCTATAGCAAGTAGAAAGTCAGATGCCACCGTGTCGCGGGCTTCCTGGGCAGCATTCACAATGACGGTGGAACAAACGATGCTTGCTTGTCGACCCATCTTCCCAGCTGGTTCCCACTCGCTGCTTGCTCCTCCTTGTAAGCTTTCTTCTGACGATGCTTCTTTCTACGAATATGGTCAACCACGGTAGATTTTCGAGATGGACCCACAGTCACCTCACACGATGAACAAAACGGTAGTTTTTTCATCCGCATTATCGACATAGTATTCTCCAGAAAACTCATTCACAGGACAGTTTTTCCTCCTACATGCCGTTTCCTTTTCTGAGCTGACATTTGCAAAAGATCAAACCTGTCGATTATTATAAGCGACAGATTCGCTTGGTTCTCAAGTAGCGTGTAGAAACGGTGTCGCTGCGGTAAAATCGGATGTCGATCTTTTGGGACCACGTTGTGCATGGTGCTCGTCTCTGGAAAAATCATTGGATCAGTATCTGCGTCAGCTTGCCGCCGACCGCCACTCTTTGGTAGCTGCAATCTGCGACATTCTTGAAGTTGACCATCCTGTTGCCAGAGCTAGCCGCAGGAAAGTAAGTAACGGTGTTATTCAAAGGAAGATGAAAATTCAGTGATGTAAAACCTCAACCGTACCTACTCATTACTGAAACGACAGTACTGAAAAAGAGTACAACTCACCGTCCTCGCCACTATACTGACAGATGACGACGACGACTTCAATCTTTCAACGAATTAACACGGTCGCTTACATTGCGCCGCTGTCGTATACAGCGACCTGGCCGCTGTTCACCGCCTAAGAGGCAACTGTACATCAAGTTCGCAGGTGACTGTAATGAGGGACGGTATGTGCCGGCCAGGTGTGCGCACAAGTTGTGAAAGAACTAATGTTGTACAGGTTTAGTGTACATGCGGGCAGTGTTTGTATAATGAACAGTGGAATGAGTGCACGGCGTGGACAGACAGATGGGACAAGGTTTCGTAATGACTATATGCATGAGTGGCATAGCAGATGCTGAACAGATGGCAATGATGCTACTCCAGAGGAATGTTCCAATAGTCACCTGGCTGCTTTGGCATTTCTTCCGAATACAAATTTATTGATTACGATGAAAAAGAATTCAAAATAACTTCATGCTTTTTCTTTTTTCGCGATTCCACGAACATTTTCCTTTTCCACGACTGCTAGCAAATCCCGCATATTTTTCTACGTTTTACGGAGTCGCGGAAAATTGGGGTCTTTACTTATTTATTATCCTAACGATCTTTTAGTCATTTTCACATTTTGCCCGGAGTTATCCTCTGCTTATTTTTGCTAGCTCTGACTTGCACTCACCTGGTTGATCTCATCTCTAGGGTCTGGCCATTCTTGAAAATACTTGTAGCACGAAGTGTGGATAATGGTGAGGGTTGTTCTCCTAGCTGGGTATTTTGGTTGCAAACGTTTTGTTACCAGGCTGGGAAACATCGTCATTACAAACTTCTGGAGAAGTCCGAGATCTTCCTGGAGCGAGACATTGTGAAGCTTTTGAAGCTCATATAGGTGCTACCAAGTGCTGCACTCACCTTATGCAGTGAATCAATGTCTACGGCACACTGCGGATGTAGTTTTTGAATAATTCAGGATAAAGCATGGTGAACTGCGCAAAAGGTAAGATTGAAAAGAAGTCGGACACGCCCGCTGTAGCTCTCAGATGGAAGGCTCAGCTGATAAAACTCGAGATACCGGTGTTCATCAACCTATGCCAATGCACGCATGGTGCGACACGTCAATCATTGCACCGGATGTTCATTTTCTATCATACCTTCGATTTACAACCAACTCCGCGACTTTATGCTAGTGGTGGGTGACATGGATCAGGAAAAGATGATGCACTGCTCTGATTAAGATTGGACCACCTGAACTGATCGTTTAGCCTAGTTCGAAGCACATATCGCACCGTGTTGCATATCTGGTTATGTGAGTGTGTGATGTACGCAGAGAAATATTAGACTTTAGAGATGGATACAGCTAGCCCTTTGTTGAGTTTAACTGGACAATCTGCAGTGGCTCAGGCAATTACAGCGTCGAGTCACTCAGAAATCACATTTTACCATTCTTTACCTGCTACTCGGATTAGCATGAATTCTGTGGAGGATGCCGTCCATTGGGCTTTAAGTCGAAGAGATCATCGGTAACCTAATGGTCACCTCTTCCATAATGAGGACGTTTGTCACATGTGCGCTTCGGAACCCGTAGCTCAGAAGACTGCATCATGCAACTGCATCCATTGCATTGGCATTGCGGTCCTCACCTATCTACCTACTGAGTTGTCTTAGGGACAATGCTATACGGTCAGTAGCCGATGGCATAAAAAGGATCCACCAACTACTGCTCAGAAACCTTACTTTTTGGTCGATGCAATTCGTCTTCCTTCTCGAAAACTTTGGGATCAATCACCTATGTGCTCGGTGAATCGATATCAGCCAAAGTTCATCTGACGCTGGTTGGTATTCCACTTAGAAGAATCTGGCCACCAACCTCACAATTTCTGTCCGACGAATTGCAGGGATCTGGTTCCTGCGACTTTTTCTAGAGGTCGCCAGAACTGCCATGGGTGAACGATCGAATGCAAGCAGCAGATTTTCTCCTCCACATTGCGTAGAAATGGATTTGCCTAGATATTCAAAACGCAGCACGCGAACGCGAAAAGCAGCGAGGTACGGTCGACCGACTTACTTATAAAAGTGTACATGATTTATTATTTAGAGGAGGCAAACGTGACAGGAGATTGCGATGTCTCCTTTGTCCATCTATAAAGAAGTCTTAGTACCTTGCTGATAGTTTAGTTTTGCACCAAATTAGTGAAGGAATGGGAGAAAGCTACTGCATGCTTTTTCGAATCGTGCCTTGGGAAACATCAGTTTGATTACACGATGCTGCCATTTCGCATCTAGGGTACTATGTTGCTTTATAATATTCACCTTTAGGCTAATGTGCCATTCTAGGTGTGACATTTTTTAGTTCCGGTTTGCCATCATTTTTTTGTGCTCATCCGTTTCTCACTCTTTAGTAACCAGAAGGGTTTGGCGAATGTGTCTAAGTCCAAATGTGCTGCTTCCAAGCGGACCACTACCGGCAGCAGTAAGCGAGCAACCACCTCCTGCTCAACTGGACGTCGCGGTAAGAAAACCACCAAGCGTCGTAAGACCCATTCTTTGGAGGATGATAACGAGGAGGATAATCTCTCTATTCCTGTCGACGACGAGCTGTCAAGCCTATCCAGCGGGTCGCATTCCGAGGCAGCTCGGGAATCTGATGACGACGAAGGCAGTGGGCTGCAAGATACAATCGGCGAGGAATTGCATGACAAAGTGGGGTCGTCCAAGTGGGTGGCTGGGAAACATAAGCGAGGCAAAATCACCGGGCCCGTGTCGGTGAGTGTGTTAGCTCGGATGCCGACTCGCACTCCGTTTCCACCGTTTTCGGTTGTATGATATGCACTGTTTTTAGTATTCCGTCCCGCAGGATTGGATAAGTTAACTGAACTTCTTTTGAATCGGATCTCATCTAACAGCGACCAGACAGATAACACACCAAGTGACTATTTCACTGTTCTATGGATTTACCAAAACCGCCCGTCTCTTCCACTCTGGTGGGAGCTGTGGTCACTATTCCAGTGTCACGAAGAGGGGTTGGTAGTTTTTTGAATCATATAGGTGCTGATAACAAGCCTAGCCGGATCAGAAACTGTTGTGGTTGGCGCCGACTTTACGGTTAGCCTGTCTGATTCTGCTGTGCCGCCCCCAACCAGTTCAACTCGCCTGTGCGCTGGCTCTCCGTAACAGAAACAATTTTGTTTAGCTTACTTTTTCATTTTGTCTTCAATATTGTGGATTATTCTGCTGAAATTCTCGTTCTTCCACTGTTCCGAGTCGTTTTTTAGTGATTTTTATTCGTTTGTTTTACCTTTTTACTTTACTTTTTTACTTACCCTATTACTCTCTGTTCCCGATACACAAGCCAAACCTGATGGAATTGGGTTCCTGTTTTCGGGAGTTAGATATTTCTTCGTTGGCCCTTGGTTTGGTTTCCTGGCCGTGGTCACTTTCGGCCGAAGCAAGGAATATCAACCAAGACCCCTGTGAACTGAGCTGGCAAACCTTACTGTGGCTGTTAGAGGATGCAACATCGAAGTTGGAACACGTGTCACACATACGGTAAGCTAAGAATGAGTCCAGCCTTGACCACTGTTAAACCGCTGTTGAGATGTAACTGTTTACTACCCCCCTAAGAAGCAGCCGTTTCAAGCATTATGTGCGTTTCATTAAATCACTGGTTTACTGTTGCTGTTGTTGCTGCTGCTGTTGTTGTTTTTGTTGTTGTTGTTGTTGTTGTCGTCGTCGTCGTCGTCGTTGTTGTTAATCTAGCCGTCTTTTCCACCTATACTGCTGTAACGATGTTAGCTTATTGTGTCCTCATAAGCGTTGTATACTCTTTCCACAGCCCTGTTTCCCATCCCGGTTGGTTTGCTTTTGCGCGCTTGGACAATTTGAAGCCCACCGTTCGATCGAACTTCTTCCTCTGTGTTGCTTCATGTCTTCCACGCATTCTCCAAAAAGCCGTCGACTACATGAGAGGTGAGTTACTTGGATTGACGTCACCCCCATAACTACCATCCCACTTCTTTTCCAATTTAAAATCGATCATCTTGTTTGCATTTTACTACGCTTTGTTTATGAACCGTTTTCACACGCGATGGAGTTTACTCTGTCAGAATAGAGAATCCCAACACGTGGCAGTTATGAATACATGAGTAATTTCGTATATTTACCGACAAGTGGTTTAGAACATGATAATGGAAGTTAAAGATGAAAAATGGAATGTCGGATCACAAATATTTCAGATCATCGACCCGATCACTCGAAATGCAAAACGTTCAAATATTTGTACCCCGTTTCAAAACTTCTAGGTAGCGAAGCTCGGGTGCATTCAAAAGTGGGGGAGGGGAGAGTCGGCTGCACAGACATGCTCGATTTTATGGGTAATGAAAAGTGAGAGTAAGATGGCTGTAGGATATTGGATTTTCATATGTTGTTTAGATCAGCTACCGTCAATGTTTCTGGCGATTTTGGTGCGCAAAGTGTCTTGAACCCATTCGGGATGGTGAGGAAATCCTATTAAAACTTATCTTAATGTGGCATGGCTGGCACTCGTACTTAATTGTAGTGAGTGTATGTTTCTCACTAAAAAGAAAGTCGATCGGATTATATGACTCAGGCTGTGCGGGCAATGAGTAGCCACCATTACGGGTGGGACAGGTGGAGATTTTCCGTAGTTCGAGAGCAGTACTGTCCGTGAAAATCCTGTTATTTGTAATGTTGATTAGGAGATTGTTCTTCAATCGTCTCAGCCAACGTGGATCCATTCGGACGTGGCGACAACGATCATGGTAACCCAGGGTTGAGCAGCGCCCCATGACCAGTTTGGTAAATATTCATTGGGAATTTTCCAAAGTGATTCTATTTTTATTTCTTGCTTGGCTGTGGATAATAATACAATATTCCAGAGTAGGTCTTACATTTATTTTGAATAACTTGTTTCACGAAAGGAAAATGTTCTAATAATATAAACGGATAGTTGTCCGGCTTTTGCAACTTGGTAACATAAATGTTCAGACAAATTGAAGGATGTAGCCTATCTGATTCACAAGTCCCGAACTAAATCAGAGGTTCGGATCACGTTACCAGCAAAGGTGCTAGAGCCTTCCGGCATTCGACATCTCTATCCAATTACTTGGGATTTTTTTGCGAACAATTTCATTAGCAGACGTTCACTAGAGATGTTCATTGCTAGTATACTTCCCTGGTGCTCTTGTACTTGCTGTTTGAAATGAGTGGACTACTTTGACTTCGCCTGCAAAGAAACACGAGCGTCCTTATTTTTTGGGGTCGCATATGTCGTTTATGTAGATTAGGAAAATGTAATGGTCCGAGCACACTTCCCTGAAAGACACCACTGGTTATTCGTTTAGGTAACCTGATACTAGTTTGATCTCTAAGTGCTAGTTACTTACTTTATTGTCACTATCCCAGGAACTTTGCTGTGCATTTCACTTTCGTCCTGTATGATCTCTGGTGACCAAACCGCGTGTGCATTATTACTTACTTACTCTTCTGATTGCTTGGAACGCATTGAGTTGCACTTCCAAAGACTAAGTGTGCAGTTTTTACGAACACTGAGAATGTCACCAATACATTTCAAGTTAGCCTAACAATTATTTACCAGTCAATCAACACCTAACACTACACGATCTACGATGCATTGCTTTTGTGAGTTAGTTTCACATTTCCCCGTGCTGCTCATCCGACGTGCAGTGTTCTCTTTCCTCCCCGTTTGCATGGAGCCTATTCCTTTGCAAGTGCACTAATACGACTGAAATAATCATTGGAAATTTGTCGCGGTTGCATTTGGTCCTCAGCTCACTGAACAACCTGTGTGGCATTAGACAGCCGTTGTCCCTTTTCCGGACTCGTTAGCAGTGAGCATCACACCTCAGTTCTGATGGGAAAACATTCTAGATACTCCTTTTTCGAGGTTGTAATTAGAGCCACTAAACCACACGAGATGTTGCATTCGTGATGCCACTTCACCGCAGTTGGACTAAACCAACTTACACTCAAACTAGGTATTTTTATGATAGATAAATTTCATTTCATTTTATTTGGTTAGTTCTGCCTACCTGAATAATCTTCTGTTAATTGGCCACGCTGCTTACGCTTATTGTGGTTACCTTCGTTAACTTTATTGCGTTTGTGGGATTTTTGAGTAACTTCTGGACATTTTGTACTTATCACGGATTCGTTGCTAACCAACTTACTGCATGTGCTAATTTAGCGAAGTTATGTCGGAATAGCCGTATGCTTTAACATATATAATTTCTATTACTCGCGAGTAGCTGTTTGACATCCTCCGTGTGACTGCACTTGATGTGCATGCTGACAAGGTGCCTACCTGTCTATCACCCACTACCTCGTCCATATTGGCTCCAGGAGACAGTTGGTCGTTGCTGGAGGGGACGGGGTGCACGGTTCTTGTGGCCGTGTTAGGATCAAAGAGTAGTTCCATGCACTCGGTGTGGAGCGGACTACGGTCCAGTCACCGTCTTATGTGCGCTTAATTCGCAAATACAGCGTGCTTGTATTTGCCTGTGAAGGAGTGTGGACCGGCTCCGTTGATGAAACGTGGCTCCCATCCGCATGCTTCCCGGTCTTATTCCTTCGTGTTGACACTGGATATGGGGTGTGTGGTTGGAGCTGTGGGTCGTGCAGCTCAAGCCATTCATGGTCCCTCTGTAGGTGTAGGCGTCCTGTGGCTGGCCACAGTGACAGGCAAATCCGAAACCGGATACCGCCAACCATATATATATATATATATATATATATATATATATATATATATATATATATATATATATATATATATATGATACACAGTCTGTGGTACAGATATTGTGCCGTCGGAATCATGGCTGTATTTGAACACGGTATGAATAATAAGAAAATAACATCAGCAACAGTATTTTTCTCCAGTTTGCCACTCGCAATTTTGAAATTATTTTTCAGTTTGTATTTTTAGGCGGAGGAAGTATGGTCGCCGCAACACACCGATGAACACGTCCGCCACTGACATCGATCTTGTGGCATGGCTTCCAATGTCTTCAACCAGCAACTATCCACATCTCTCGTACCCCAACTAGATAATTGACAACAACCGGCCGAGACCAACTGTTTCGTTAGCTTTTTCTTACGGCTTATCCAAGTTGCATGCTGTCCACCAGACCGTCTCTTCCAGCCCTGTCCAGCAATTGCAAACAACACACGACGCGAGTAACGCTGGACAGGCATGCGCAATACGTGTCCCAACCACCGCAGTTGATGCAGTGAGACGAGCTCCTCGAGCGAGTGGTTTCCACGTCCAAAGACACGCTGTCTAACTTCCACATTGCTTCCGTGGTGCAGCCACCACACACGGGCAATGGACCGCAGACAGCGGTGCTCGAAGTCGGATGGCCTGCGCAAGTCAGCTTTACGCATGGGCCAGGTTTCACATCCGTACAAGAGTACAGCGCGAACAGCTGCACAATAGACCCGCCCTTTAATGGAGAGACGAATGTCGTGGCGTCGCCACAATTGCTTCAGCCTAGAAAAAACGAGGCGTGCTCTCGAGCTGCGCAACAAAATCTCATCTCCAACAGCCCCGTGATGCAACTTCCCAAGTAGACAAAGTTCTCCACAACTAGTGTCTCACCACCAAGAGTAAGTGCAGGCACAGGCACCTGCCAGTCTTGAAAGAGCGCCTTGCATTTAGATGGCGAGAAGTACATATCATACTTTGATGCTTCAATCGCCAAGCGGTTTAGTGCAAGTTGGACGACGTGTAGATCGTCACCCAGTAAGACGATATCATCAACATAATCCAAGTCAACAACTCGACTACCTGGGTGGAGCTCAACGCCAGCGTTCAACGAATCGCTCAGAGCGTTTTTCAGGACATCCTCAATGGCAAAGTTGAATAGGAACTGAGAGATAGGGCATCCTTGTTGAACTCCACTGGAGACCACAAAGGTTGGCGAAAGCTTGCCATAAGCCCTAACCTTGCCCGAGGTCACACCATAAAGGGCGCGCAGTATAGAGTCGAACTTCTCGGAGACGCCATTCCTTAGTAGGCAGTGCCACAGTACCGTCCGATCGACAGCATCGAAGCCTGCACGGATATCCAAGAACACAGCAATCGTTGGCCTCTGATACACATGGCGGAGTTCGAGGATCTGACGGAATGTGAAGATTTGATCGATGCAGCCGCGACCAGGGCGAAACCCAGCTTGTTCTTCTCGTTGCAACGATTCACGCGTTGGGGATAGGCTGCGAAGTATGATGGACGCCAGCTGCTTGCAAACGACGGGGATTAAGCTTATGCCTCTGTAGTTGGTGCAGATTGTGCGCAGGCCCTTTATGAAGATGGGCACGACTATCGATTCACCCCAAGATGATAGAACTTCCTCTTTCGACCAAACTTTCGAGAACAAAGCGGTGAGTTCTTGAACTAGCGAAGCTCCACCACCTTTAACTAGAGCTGGAGAAAGACCATCAGGACCGGGGCTTTGTAACGCTTCATGTGGCGGAGCTCCTGCTCGATTTCCTGATAAGAGGATCTGTGGGAGTAGACCAATCGGTCCCAATGCGCTCGCCAGAGATAGCAGATGAAGCTGTGGGCCAACAAAACTGCGAGCCAACATGTTCAGCCCATCGCTCCAACCGTTGTTGAAGATTGGTGATTAAGGTGCCACTCTCTTCGCATATTGTTTCACTTATACCAGATCGAACACCTTCGGTGACTCGGATGAGATGGAAAAATTTCTGGTATTACCAGAGGGACTAGCAAGCTCCATCTCCCTAGCACATTCACACCACCAAGCTTCGCGGTCCATTTGCAGACTCCTGCGCAACTCTCGACCAAGGTATTGGCGTTCCTCACTGTGTCTGGAATCCGATGGAATCAAGCGGCGTCTGTCCATCAGCGACAAGGAGTCGGCGGAAATCCAATGTTTCGGTGGGTGACGGGTAACTCCACAAGTGTC